TGCTGAACACAGTGCTTACGTCAGGATGGGATACTCATGTCCTCATCTCTGCTGCAACTGGCTCCAAGTCACGTAAAAGGGCATCATCACTTCTTGCTTGGTTGGGCAACCACCTCTGCTTCCTGCTTCCTTGCTTACCTCAGCACCAGCGGGTGGGTTTTTATCCAAACACACGTGGCATTGTCACGGTGATCCACATCTGCTCCCCTTCCCATGCTCATTTCATGGAATCATAGGATCATGGGATGGGTTGGGTTGGTGGGACCATAAGATCACCCAGTCCTGCCCCCTGCATGTGCAGGGACACCTCCCACCATTCCAGGCTGCTCCAAGCCCCATCCAACCTGCCCTTCAACACCTCCAGGGATGGGGCAGCCACAGCTTCCCTGGCCAACCTGGGCCATGGTCTGACCACCCTCATTATGAAGTTTTTTCCTAATATCTAACCTAAATCCCACCTCTTCCAGTTTAAACCCATTAACCTTGGTCACATCCCTTCCTGCCCTTGTCTAAAGCCCCTCCCCAGCTTTCCTGGAGCCCCTTCAGGTACTGGAAAGTGCTCCAAGGTCTCCATGGAGCCTTCTCTTTTCTCATACCAAACATTTGAAACTCCACAGCAGTGAAATTGAATTAGATAATGAGGATAAACTAATTGTTTATCTCAGAATAGTACTTCATGCCCACCTAAGTCAGGACTACTGCCCAGATGCTAATGAAGATTAGAAAACCCACAAAAAGTATCTCTGGCCAGATCAGCTGTCTGAGCAAATTCACTCTGCTGAAGACTTGAGAGCCAGGCCTGGGTAACTGGGGGGCTCCCCTGCCCCCCAGCACACTGGGGGCTGCCCAGGCAGGGAGGACTCCTGCTGGACACCACATTGAACATGAGCCAGGAACATGCCCAAGCAGCAGTGGGCAAGGGGGCCCTGGGCAGCATGGGAAGCACCAGGACTGTCTCCAGCAGGTCCAGAGAGGTGACCCTGTCCCTCTGCTCAGCACTGGTGAGGCCACACCTGGAGGATTGTCTCCTGTTCTGGGGTCCCCAGTATGAGAGAGACATGGACAAACTGGAGAGACCAATGAAGGACTAATGGTGAAGGACTGGAGCACCACTGCTGTGAGGACAGGCTGAAAGCTCGGACTGTTCAGCCTGGGGCAGAACAGGCTCTGGGGGGTCTCATCAGTATGTACGAGGGTCCTTCCAGTGCTGCCCAGGAACAGGGACCACAGGCGCTCCAGGACACAGGAGGCTCCCCCTCCTGAAGATCAGGAAATACTTCTTCACTGTGATGTGATGGTCTCCTGGCACAGGGTGACCAGGGAGGCTGTGGAATTTCCATCACTGGAGATACTCAAGTCACCTGAACATGGCCCTGGGCACCTGGCTCTGGGTGGCCCTGCTTGAGCAGGGAGGTTGGAGAAGGTGACGTCCAGAGGTCCCTTCCAACCTCCACCATTCTGTGATACAAACATGCCTGTCAGTCACCTGCAGCCTGTAATTCCCATGGCATTAATTATCCTCTACCCAGATGTTTGTATCACTTCTAATGAGAGTTGAGAAGAGTGGGTCATTAAGGCAGTTAAGGAGTTACCCTTAAACGGCAAAACCATGTACTAAGCCCAAACTGCCATCTGAAGCAGACCGCCCAAATCAAAGACTACTCTGGACACCCCACGCTCCTCCCGTTGCGCGTAAGCTTTTTCTCCTTGAGATCCTCACATATTCACCAGCCCCAGATTCCTACAGTCTTGCTTCGTGAAGCTTAGTGCTCTGTGACAAGAGGAGAGTGAAAATGCAGAGAATCAAGCACAGAAATCACTCTCCCAGGAACTGGGAACCCACAGCTGTGGGTTCAAACTAATCACCTTTTCTGAAGATGACCCCAGTTCTGAGTCAGCATGATCCTCTCTCCCCCAGGCAAGAAGCCAGCAGAGAGGAAGTGGCAGAAATAATTATGTGTTGCATCTTCACACCTTTTCAACACAGCATTACACAGGAACAGAGGCACATGGAGCCAAACCTGGGTGCACGTCTTGCTTGGTCTGACTCTTTCTATGACTTCTTTCCTGCATGTGTGAAAAAGAAGCAAAATAGGCCACAAGCTGACAGGTCTCTGCCAGAACCAACCAGCCAGCGCAAGGGAGGACCTGCAGCCTCAAACCACCTTCTCTTTCTCTGGCACAACCTAGATCCTTCTGTCTTATACAGATGTGGAAAGAAGCAGATGTTTTATTTCAGCTTTGACTACATAAATAGAAAAAAGGAGCAGTTTAATGAGGTGAACACCTGTCCTAGCCCAGCCTGGGGACAGGGTTTCAGCAGGGGCTGTGCTGGGGCTGGACAGCCAACCCCAACACACCAAGGGCTCCTGTGGTGCTCAGTGTGCAGAGCAGCAGTTGAGGAGGGAACTGTTTCGCCCCTGCTCAGACCTGCCAGACACCTTAATTCATTTTCTTGCGCTTCCTCTGGCCCCCTGGTGCCTTTGGCACAGGCAAGGGGAGTGAGAGGGTGCCCAGCTTGTGGTTGGAATCATTCTCAAGTCCTGGCAGCCCCTTTGCCTTGGAGATCCTCAGCCGCAGGGCCCTGGCGATGTCCAGCATCCTGGAAAACACCAGAGAAACTCCATCAGCACGGCAGTGGCTCCTCTGCAGCACACACTGCACACCAGATGAGCAGCCTCTTCCCTCAGGGGAGAAGCCACGAGGCCCCAGCGGGCAGATGTTCTCTCTGCATCTCCAAGACACCATGGAGACAGAAGCTGAAAGTATCCAGACAACACAGTGGAGCTTCCCTGGGGTGGCCAAAATGCCCTGAGCTACGACACTGCCATCCCCAAGAGCAGGGCAAACCCATGCTGCCCCACTCAGTGGCAGCTGACTGCAGAAAATAAAATGCTGCTCTCCATGTTCCTACAGGTGTTAGTTGTGTCCAGCTGCTGCTGGCAGCCCTTGTTTGCTTCCTGATGCAGTCCTCTCCTGTGCATGGCACTCTGAATGGAGCCTGGCACAGCATGAGCACCTCCTTTTGGCCACTAAAACTCACCATCCTCAGCTGTGAGAAGAGGGGCTTGTTTGAAATGCACCTTCTTGCCCAAGCTCTTCACCCTACACAAGCCAGAACACACCTGGAGGCTTGTCAGAGAGAACAAAGCACATATGAAGGAAAGCCCACAGGGACACTGGTGCCCTGGCCCCAGCTGGGCTCCCAAGAACAAAAAAGTCCCTGAATCCTCCCAGCTGACTTCATTATATTTGAAACAGCAGTACATTTGGCTGGGAAGGGTCCTTCAGCCAAACCTACCATTCCAAGCAAGGACCATCCCATCAGGCAGCTCAGGGCTGTGTCTCTCCTCAACTTTTCTGACTTTTCTGACAGGTTGCAGCCTCCTCCACTCTTTTCTCAACAACATCCTAATGCCCTGTGTTCCTAACTCCAGTACATCAGTTAAGAACAAAACAACTCTGAAAACCAACATGGCTTCCTTAAAAAGCTTAGTTCCAAAGAGAAAAAGGAAAGAAAAAATGGATGGAAGCCAACAGCCAACATTGCTGTTAAACCAACTGCTACTCATCAAAGACCAATGTTGGTCCAAATGCAGTAAATTCATAGAATTATCACTGGTTTGGGTTGGAAGGGACCTCAAAGACCATCATCCAGTTCCAACCCCCTGCATGAGCAGGCACTTCCCACCAGCCCAGGTTGCTCCAAGCCCCATCCAACCTGCCCTTCAACACTGCCAGGGATGGGGCAGCCACAGCTTCTCTGGGCAACCTGGGCCAGGGTCTCGCCACCAGAACCCCCAGGGGAATCCACAGCACTTTGCCAGCTGTGGGGAGGGTGTGTCCCTCTGCAGCCCTGTCCCAACTGCATTCCCCCAGGACAATCCCTGTCAGGCAGAGCAGAGTGGCTGAGCTGGAGGCACAGCCACACTGTGGCATCCTTGGCATCAGTAGTGGGCAGGTGAGAGGGGAACACTGAGGAGCATGACCCAGCAGCCACTAACAAGGCCTCTGACAGCCTTCCTAACTAATGAACTGCTGCTGAGCTGATGTCTGGGACCTCCCCAGCCTAGTGGGCTGGCTGGTGGGAGCTGCTCCGTTCCCCACTTCCTCAGCAGGGGCTGGGACAGCAGAATTCCCACAGCAGCTCGGGTTGACACCTGCTGGAACACCAAGTCCTGCAGCCAGCAGCAGGTGCACCACACTCACCTGTCCTTCTGCAGAACTTTAAAATAGAGAACAGCTGCCCCAGCACTACCACAGCAGGGTCCCTTTCTTAAGGTGTTTATCAACCATCACCCTCACCAGCCCCACATGTCCAGTCCTTATGTCAAACACCCGGGCCTGCAGGTCTTCTTACAGCATCTCCCTGGGATGCTCTGGTGAAAATCCCCACATCCATCAGCATCTCAGCAACAGGAACAACACTGTTGGTGCCAAGCCTGGGGTCTGTGAACTTCAGGGCAGGGATTGCTCCATGTGAACACTGAGCAGTAAACCTGACATCTGCAGCAAACCTGCCCCCGCACCCACCAGTCCCCAGCAGCTCTACAGGACAGGTGGGCACAGAGAATGGGGAGGTAAGGAGATGTGATTTGTCAGGCACACAAAGGGGCTGGAAGGCAGTGGACAAGGTCTTGTCCTGGAACAGACCCAGCTTCCCATTTTGGTGCTGCCTGCCTTGGTTTCCTTCCCTGCAGAGCAGCTGAACAGCCTTGTGCTGCACCAGAGGGCATCTCTGCAACAAGTGCCCTTTCAGAGTTTGAGCAATTTAACTCCTTCACTAGGATCAGGGCTTCAAAACAAATTTCAGCATGTATTCATGCATGACTCAGGTGCCAGAGCAGCACCAGCACTCATTCTCCAGGTGCTCTCTTAAGGACAACAGCAGCCTTCAGCAGGTATGAACAAACACAGTGACTCACCTGCTCTCCTGGAGCTTGAGGTCGTTCTGCAGGAGGGTGAGGTCTGTCTGGAAGTTGTTGATGTGCAGAGCCAGTGCAATGACATATGCTGCGATTTTAGCCTTCATTGATGCAGAGATCAAGTTCTGGACACTGCATGGCAAAAGGGAGAATATGAGATGTGGAGTTAACTCCAAACAACCCTCATGAGGTGCAGGCAGAACTGGAGACCCAGAGAGATATGAGTAACTTCTCCTATACTCCAAAAACAAGATCAAAGCAACAGAGACCTCTGATCACAGGGGCCCAACAGGCTTATCTGTCCTCCCTACATGCCGCCATTTCTGTTTAGAAGTGCAGGCCCTGGTGTTACCACGATGCAGCTTTGACAAAATCACCAACTGACGGCATCTCAGTTGTTTGGCAGGATGGTCCTTGCAAGAGGAAAACAAAGGGAAGCTTTGCTGAAATGCCGCCATTTCTGTTTAGAAGTGCAGGCCCTGGTGTTACCACGATGCAGCTTTGACAAAATCACCAACTGACGGCATCTCAGTTGTTTGGCAGGATGGTCCTTGCAAGAGGAAAACAAAGGGAAGCTGTTCTGAAGGCATTAACAGCATCTCAGACACAAGCCACAGGAAGCAGATCCCTGGAAGGGTCCCTCTGCTCCTCACTGGCTTGGACCTTCAGACAGAAGCTGCCCCATTTGGGCTCCCAGTCCTGCTCGTGACTGCAGGGAAACAACACCTGGCACTGGGCAAGGGGTTCTGACACTGCTGGAAAGGAGGGCCATGAGTAGCTCCGCAGCCTCTGCTCCAGCTGAGGGCTGGTGGCTTTTCTTGGATAACCACCATGGCAGGATCACATCCTGCCTTCTACACCAAACGTGGTCACTGTGGATGGGACAAAGGTAGGACAGAGCTCTTTGGTCTGTACAGACATGAGCAGAGGGCTGTGGGTGTCAGCCCAGCACAAGGTGACCAGTGCACATCTCCAGCCTGGTCTGTGCAGGTTTCACTGGAGGCAGGAGCTTTCCTGAGAACACACCCACGGACCTTCAAGCTGAATTCTCCACCTGAGGTACATCACAGCAAACAAAGTTCCTTACCTGCCATTGTTGTAGGTCAGTGAAGTGAAATTCTTCATGAGTTTCCTGCTAATAATGTGAGGACATTCAGGACCCATTGGATCTAGGACAGAAAGGGGTTTTGCAGCAGAATCAGAAACACTTGCTCTTCCTTGTGCTGCCCATCTCCAGCTATCACAACAGCTCATTCCTTACCATGACATTTATCACTTCTTCCTAGCGACACAGAGAACCTAGAAATAGCCTGCACACTGAGGTCTCACTATTCTTCAGGTCAGAGAGGCTCCCCACAGCTTATCTTTCCTTTACAAAAGGGATCTCCCACTTTGACACTGCAGAATCTAAAACATGGGCATGTATTTAACATACACTCTTGTCACAAAATGCTACTGAAACTACATTAACAAACCTATGTCAGCACCAAGACCAGTCACTTCCACATCCTCAACTAAGCCCTGCAGAGTGACTCCTGTGTCTCCAGCAATGCAGGAAGACATTTACAGACAGGCTTGACATTTCCTGCTCCCTCACACCCCTGCCACTGCCAATGCTGACAAGGACATTTTCAGCACTGACAAGGAGACTCTGATACTCAAGTTCTGTGGCAGATGGGAAGTCCTGAAAACCTCAACCAAAATATTTTGTGCAGTGCTTTTGAGAGCAATGGTTCCTGCCATTTTAAAAGAAAGATCCTGAAGAAAACAGAAGTATGTGCACGGTGCACACATTGAGATAATAAGCAACACATGATGAAAACATTCTCAAAAGGAGATAAAACTAAGTATTATATACTATGTGCCTGTTGCTCCTGGAACAGGGAGGCTGGAAGAGTGAAAGAGCTGATAGTTTCCAGCCTCTTGGCTTGGGACTAAAGTGTAAAAATGAAGGAGCTGAAAAGTCTCTTACGTTTCTTCTTGATCACTTTCAGGTAGCTGAACTTAATAAGGGTGTCCAAGAACCAGAGGCATCGGGCTTTGTGATCTCGGCTCCTCTCTTCAGCAGGCAGGAACTTCAGCTCCTCTAGAACAAAGCAGCAGTGGCTGAAGGAGAAAGAAGGGAAATATGAGGCTGAAAGAACCACGAAACAGTTTGTATCATCTGAGGACAGGACACAACTATAACTTCAGCTGTCTGAGGAGTTCCCTGGTGAAGGACACAGGTAGCCCAGGAAGCTGGTCAGTAAGCAAGACTTCCCCATCAATGCCTGGTCCAGTCCCTTTAAGGGTGCAGCTCCTAAGGAGGTGCCTGCCCTGCGGGGTCCCCGTGTCACAGCTCCTCTGCCCTAGCACAGGCAGCACAGGGACAGAGGTCAGGTTTGTGCTGCTCCTGCTCACTTCAGCCCCTCAGCACAAGGCCCCAGCAGCTCCATGTGTTGAGCTGTGTCAGCCTGTCCAGGCACAGCAACTCCCACAGCATGTCCTCACCTCCTGACCTGCACCCACCTTCCCCAAGGCAGGTGCTGCTCTGCCCCGTATGGACCCATGTGCTCCTCCTGCCCTGAAGAAATCAGCTTGGCTGTTGTGCAGCTGGCAGCCACCAACTCACCCCTCAGAAAAACCACAGTTCCACAGGGCCCACCTGGACTGCGACCAGGCTGTTTGCAGCAGCATTACCTTCTGTCCTCGCTTTTCTTGGCGAGTTCCTCTGCAGTGATGTTAGCAAAGGCTGCTGCTGGAACCCGCAGCGCTTCGTACTCTGCTGGGGACAGGACTGGGAGGATTTTAAAGAACAGAACGAACACACCTTTGTTCCCCCCTCTGGTCTGAGCAGTCCACAGTGAGATAAGCTCTGCCCACTCTTGCTTTAGGAGGTGTGGGGCAGGGAAGGAGGGAGGGAAATTATGAACAGGCAGGCTGCAAGGACAGGACTGGGAAGCTGGCCAGTAACAACAGTCTCTAAAGGACTGTGGCTCCACCACAAGTCACTTCTGCACAGCTGACCTCACTATTACTCCCAGTGGAGCCAACATGGAGGCACAGCATCCCCCTCTCTGCAGGGAAGAGGCAGAATATGGGACTGACAGGCCCAAAAATCTCAGCAAATCATGTCCCCTGCTCTCAGCTTCTGGCTTGTGAGAAGGCTGGGCTCATTCACACTCCTAGCAGCACTCACTCCCACAGGCCAGACCCCTGACACTGAGGCTTACAGGTGTTCGTCACAGAAAAAGATACTGTCCTCAAACTTGTAAACATTTTCTGGCTTGTCAGCATCTTCATTACATGGTGGGAGGAAGACAGAGATGTTCTGCACATCATCTTGGGCCATGTCCTGGATCAAAGCTTTGGAGGGTAGCAGGAAAAAAAAAGTATTTGGATTATGCAAACAAGAACACAGAAATACAACGACCCAAATCCTTCCTTTAAATGCAAATCCACCCAGTAGTGTTCTTGTGTCAACACCAGTTTTGTCACAGGTTTAAAATTCCAGTTTATCTCACTGGGGACAGCAGCAAGGGAAAGGCTGCTGCTCCTCCCTGTTTGTTTCATTACTGCCAGATCTGGTGCTGACTGTACAGAAAACATTCCAGCAGGCACAGAAAGGCCGAGAGCTTCTGCTGTGCCTGCTGCATATTGAGCACTGTGGGCTTCACACTGCTGCTATTGCTTCTGCCAGGAACTTCCTGCTCCTTGAAATCTAGAAAAGCCACTCCAGACTAGAGAAAAACCGAGGAAAGAAGTGTGCCAAGACAAACTGGTTACTGCTTCTGCAGCTCCTGACTGCAGGGCGGGCAGAAAGAGGGCCCCTGGGTTCCCTTGGACACCCCTCTGGCACAAAGCAGCTCTAAGAGCACAGTCAGTATCCAACCTGGAACACATAGGATGAGAGCTGATGGGTTCTACAGACAGAAGACACCTCTCCTAGTAGCAAATGAAATTCAGAATCCCAGAAATGCTGGTGCAAAGGATGTCTGGAGGTCTCCTGTCCAACCTCCTGCTTAAGAGTAGAACAGGCTACAGCACTGGACCAGGGCAGCCCTGGCTCAGTCCTACTGAAGCTTGGAAACCCCCAAGGATGGTGACTCCACACCTCTCTGTGACCTGTTCCAGGGCTGCACTACTCTCCAAGGCAAGAAGGTTCCCTCAAGCTCCCACATGGACCTCCCAAGGCCCAGGGACCACTGCCCCTTGTGCTACTGAATGTTCAGTGTCCCAGTTCACACCAGGTACTGTCTTTATCCCAGCAAACCAATCTCCAGGGACTCCCAGAAGAGCCCACAACAGGCAGTGATGGACACTGATGTGACAAGGACTTTCTCTCATTCAGGCATCTCCCACACTAAGTCCAGCAGGATCAGAAGGAAACACCTCTTCTTCCAGCAGGAAGATCTGCCCTTCTCAGCTGTTGGAACAGCTGCTTCCTTGGTCAGTCCAAGAAAAACCCTTTCTTCTTCCTACCACACCTGGTAAGGAACAGGCAGAACAGGACTCTCCTGATTGCCTTCACCAAACCCTGAGGCTCTCACCTGTGACTCCTTTTGCATCTATAACGTTTGTTGCTGCTTTGGTCACAGCAGAGCTCAGAACATCACTGCCCACTGCATTCATCCGGCGGGAGCTCAGCGCCCGCTTCTGCCGGCTGGTGCCAAAGGCCTCGATGCACAGATCCATCTGTAGGGGGACAGAGCAGGGGCTGAGCTGCAAACAATGCAGCAAAACCCAGCTCGCCTGCTCCTGCTCCACACTCACAGTCTCAAACAAAACCCAACAAGCACTGCTCTGCAGGGGGGGCTGCACTGGGGCTGTCATCAAGACTGACATAGGCACTACGATGCTGCCCAGTTGGGCACTGGTCACACGCTGCTTCACAAACCCCCAGGGTCCAGAAAGTGCTCAACCTGCACAGGCCCACCCTGCAGTAACCCAAACATCACTGCCTCAGACAAGCATCGCCTGCTCCTGTTAGCTGTATAATGACAGAGCATGACCTAGGGTTTCCGCTTTACCTTCTCCCTGTAGGATTTCTTCTGATAATCCTTTGTGTCATCATGTAGCAAGTTATCTATAAGAGAACAGAAGTTACTGTGTGGCTTGCAGCAGTCACAGCCAGCTCTAATCTGTGGTGGAAAGGCTTGGCACAACACTTCCAAGATCTCCTCCACAGGACTTTGTCAATTCAACAACACCCTCAACAGAAGAGAATGCATCTAGAACAAGGAAAAGCAGGTTAATTTTTGCTATCAAGCCTCCAAGCACAAGGCATGGATTGTAGCAACACCCAGCTCCTATTCCTTGCATTATCCTTCTGGGCTCAGCAGCAAGCAGCAGTTCTGCTGAAGAAAAGCTCTTTTCCTTTTCAGTGATACAGCCCCTTGACCTGCAGATTGCCAGGCCTCCCTCAGCAGACAGGGCCAGGCAAGGCTGCCCCCCCTCCTCTGACCACGGACAACCTGGTGACCGCTCCAGCCCTGCCCCTCCCATCCCAAACGCTCTTTGCTCAAGACTCCACCCTGCACTTCACCCTCCTCCTGCTTTTCACAAAATGAGGCACCTGAGGAGAGTGAAAAGGAACAGGGCAGAGATAGGGAGCAGGCAGGGAGTGGGAAAGGGGGCAAGCGGGAAAAGGGACGAGGGGGGCAGGGCGAGGGGCGGGCAGAGGGCAGCTGGAGCACACTCCTCCAGGCTGCAGCGAGCACTACCAAGGCACAGCCCAGCACGGCCCTACCTGACAGCAGGGGCTGCATGTTGAATATTTCAGCATTATAAACTTCCATCTGCCCAGAGTCCTGGTTCAACACGCCAACAAAATACCTGGGGAGAGACAGAGGCAAGGGCCTAGCCAGACAGCCCAGTGATGGGAAGGACATGGTGCAGAGCCACAGGTACCTCCATCCCGTGCCAATGCATCTGCCTTGCAAATACAAGCTTTCCAAGCACGTCGGGAACCCCACAGTAACACAAGCCACCTCCAAGGCATGCAGTGTGCATTTACACATAAAAAATAGACTTGTTGCTCTAAGTAAGTGTAGAAGACTCAAGACAGCTGAATTGGCACCAAAATGCACAACCCTAGGTGCCAGAGCGCTGTCCTCTTTTGTCTTGCCTGATATTCCAGGACCCTTGGTTTTCCAGTGCTTCTATGCAGTTCCCTGGGTTTTTAACACTTGGATTCCCTGGGGCCATTTGTCTATTTAGTACGAGTTACTTTAAGTCCTCAGAGCTCCTCAGAAATGTGAGGCTGGAGATTTCACCAGCACTTCCCTTCACAGTGGCATGGACAACTCAGTGGGTGTCGCAAGCTGGTGCTGGGGAACTACTGAGATTTAGTTTAGACTTTTGTGGGGAACAAAAGAACTGTTTCCCACAGTGGGACACAGAGCAGCACTGCGCTGTGGCCCTGGGGCTAAATGGTGATCCATGACCCAGGGCTTTCCTGGGAAGCAGAAGACAATCTTGGCAAAATCTTAATTTCTGAGTTCCTTAAAGAAGTTATTCTTAGGTCTCAGCTACATCGAATCAGCTCCTCACTCCTTCCTTCACAAGACCTTTCAAAGGTCCCTCCCAAAGGGACATCTGCACTAACTGCAGCTGCCAGAGCTGAAGTCTCTTGTCAATCCTCCTGATCCCAACCATGGCCTCAGTGGGAGCTTCTCAAATAGCTTTAAAAGAGCCCACCAGGAACTTCATATCCAAGCAATCCCTCAGCTCCCACCTCCCTGTTCCCGACCCCATTTTGCCAGGAACACCCACCTGCACAGGGAGTTACACTTCATCACCCCACTGCCAAAGTTATTCCCCACATATGAAAGCCTGTCGGATTCTGAGACCTGAAAAACAAGATGAATTCCTGGAAAAGTGGCTGTGGAAAACCTCTCTGCACCCAGAGCATTTTTGGTGGCCCCACATAGCTGCACTCCCAGGCACTGGACAACAGCCACACGTCAGGAAACCTCATTTTGCCCATTTTGGGTATGCTTTGCATCAGGTCAAAACCTTTAAAAGACAAACAACATTTCATGACATGTAATTCTACCTCAGGTTTCACTGGTACAGAAGATGAAGACTGGTACATTGCCAAGAAATGAGCTGTAATGTGGTGTTGATCTATGCAGCCAACTCGGGTGTCACCAGCCAAAACATGTTCCTGTGGGGATCACCACGCCTCAATCCAGGAGCAGCAGCTTCTGAAGGAGCCTGGGTTTACTCCAAGTCACTGTGAAGAGGGACCAGGCCTCTCTGCCAGTCAGACTAAGACACAATGTCCATGCTTTGTGGTCCTTAGCATGGCAGCTGAGAGTTGCTCCAAGCTTCCAGCCAGGACAAACCTCCCAGGTGCCACTCTGGGCTGCAGGGACATGTTGGGTAGAGCCACCCTGCAACCCAGAGGAACTCAGTTTAAACTGCAGCTGCCAGAGATGCACCTAAATGTCCAGCACTGCCAAGGGTCTGCGATTCACTGGCTGAAAAAGAGAGGTGGCACTGCAGGAACAGCTCCAACACCCAGACGTGCTCCTGAATGCTTGTGTCACTGCTCTACTGGGGATTCTGGCTGAAAAGTAATTTATTCCTTGAGGGAATCATGCATGTAAGTAGCTGTAACACTTAACAACAGCTGCACAAAGCACCTGATTGTAATCTCAGAACGCCAGATTGGAGGGACCTCAAGGGTCATCTGGTCCAACCTTCTTTGTCCAGACAACACAGCCCAGCACCAGCTGAATCCTAGAAGTGTCCAACATTGGGGAATCCACCACTTCCCTGGGAAGATTATTCCTAAGGCTGATGATTCCCAGGACAAAAACTCTCATGTCCAATAGCAATCTCCCCAGGAATAACTTGTACCTATCACTGCTTGTCTGTCCATGTGATTCCTTGCAAAAAGGACCCTACATCTTCTCTGAAGCTCTCTTCTATCTTCACTGAAATAGAAAACATCTTGGAATATAATTTTAAAACCTGGTAAAGAACTGACTGTGCAAACAGCACAGATTTTGTAATCAAGTGCACCTGACGAGCTGTTAAGTAACAGCTTTTAATTTTCACACATTATTTCCTTTTGGGTTATTAAAATAAATCATAAGCACACACAACGTCCAAAGCTCAACCTTTGCTGGGGGACACACAGGCAGGAATCCACCAGAATGTCCTAAACATGCAGGTATTTGGCTCTGAGGAAGACCTTGCTGCTCCCCACGTGCTGATGCCCTTAATTGAGGCGTCCCCTTCTTGGGTTCCCTGCATCCCAGGAGCCCATCCACGCTGCCTGGCGCGTCCCACCTCAGGGGTGC